TTTTCAAGGTGATTGTTACCTATTTAGAATATCAATTCCTGATGTTTATCCCTAGGGAGGTATGTGAGTGCATTTGTTTAACCTTTTGAGGTCTGGCCCACAGAGGAAGTACCTGTCTCTCCCACAGTTGCAAGGTATCTTGTCTTCCACATTGGCTCCTGTGAAGGCCTAGCCTTGTCTGACTGCCTATAATATTTCTATCTAACTCAGCTGCCTACAACATTCCCCTCTCTAAAGAAGTAACCCAAACTGCCTTGAGGGAATAATGGGCGATGGCCTCTCTGGCTTCTTCAGGCTGAAGGGGGTTGTAGTTGATTGGCAGTCAGAGATACTGTCCAAAGAGTCTATCTAAAGTCCCGCAGTAGACACCAGGAATTTTCATCTTGGGTAGGTGTATAGCTGTAAGTCTGGAGGCAACAAAGCCAAAGAAACAATTAAGTATGCATGGGCCAAATAATAGGATCAACAGGACAATTATGAATACAGTCAACAAAGATTTCCACCAAGAGAGGCCAGTAATAGCTTCCCATAAAGAGGACAAAGGAGTTTGAGTCTGACATATTATTGATCAGTCATCTAATATTTTGAACAGCCATTGAGACATTAGCAGAAGGATTGGGAATGTACACACAACATTTAGATTTTATAACTACACAAGTACCCCCCTGTGCTGCTGTTAGAATGTCTAATGCTATCCAGTTTTGGAGGATGGCCTGTCTTATTAATTTTACATTTTTATTTATGAGAGATAGACTAGCTGAGGTGTCACTTAAGGCCCACTGAGTATAGTTAGTTAAGGCCATGATATGTGTCATACAACCTTCTGCCTAGACAAGATCTGGTAGATCCCAGTCAAAGGAATCTAAAAATAATCTAGCATATTTGTTATAGGTTTTATCTGTATGATATCCTGGGGTCTGGCATCCTCTAGGAAAGAACAAATTTTCTGAGAAATTAGAGCATGTGTAATCAAATCATGAGCATTAGAGCTGACAGGTAAGATTAGAAACTGTTTCTAAAGAATAGCTATTGTAACCCACTGGCTCTTAGACTGCTTTATTGATGGAGTCTAACATTTAATTATAACTAAAGCTAAAGTCTAGCCTCTAGCTTTAGTTATAATTATTTCTAAATTTGTGATGACTTATGAAAACTAGATTAACATATTATTTTAACCAATGAAATAATATTTGTACATGAACAACAATATGTATTACATTTGTATAAACCAGTCTCAGCATTATTTTGATTACTTGGCAACCTGAATATATATAGTACAGTATTTAGACAGGATAAAATCTCTCCAGGATGAGAGAGCTGGGCTTTTAGGCATAACTAAAAGAAATGGGTGAAGAGAAAGTTACCACAGTTGCAGCTTAAGTGAGATTTTTCTTTTTTAGTGACTGCTTTTATTGAAGTATGATGACTGGAAGGAAGTTCAAGGTTGGAGAAGGACAAAGAGACCTGTGACAACGTCTAGCAATAGGCTGGTTTCTCTTTTTCTCTGGGCATGACACTCAGGGCTCCTCTGTGGAGATGACAGGCAGAGATGACAGTTTGGCCAGAGTCAACATTGATATTTCTAAACTTGTCTTTTCCCTTGGCATAAACTTTATCAGTTTTCCAGCAGTTCTCTACTGACACAAAGTAGAAACTCAAGATACATTATTGGGCAACTGAATTTTATTAAGTGCCTTTTTTTTTTTTTTTTTTTGCCTTTGTCTTTGTTATCTCTCAGCTCAGCCTTTCCTTTCCACTCCATTATCAACTCCTGGTCCATGCCTGATGGCTAAGTAGCTCCCTGGAAAACCTCTATCGCCCAACCTCTCTTTCCTCTTATTCTTTCTATATATCATTACTATAGCACAACAAGCCTAAAACATTATTGAAATCCTAATCTGTAAAAAAATGTAATAGGTCCCCAGTGCCTATGGGATATACTTCGAGCTCAAGCCTATCCCAAGTCTAAACCTAACTTATATCCAGTTGCACCTCTCTCTGTTCTGTAAATCTTGTGCCCAACATCAAAGTTCTGCTTCTAAACTTTCATTCAGAATCAAGGACCTGAAACACCCTTCCTTTTCTTTTTATCTAGTACCATTCTGTTTGCCCCTCAACATCCTCCACAAATTTTGTTTCCCAGAGGTTTTCTTTAACCACTGCAGCTCAGAGTGATCACTCCCTTCTTTGAATTCCTGCTGAAATTGCTATCTATGCCATTCACTTGCATTTTACCATTTACTGCCTCATATTGCAAACAGGAGTTATATGTACTTGTGTCTTATTCCCCTAACCAGATATTAAATTCCCCCAAAGGACAGGGGACCTGTCTTGGTCAGAGACTAATAGAGTACATTTCCTGGTAAGTCCCCAAGACATTTGTGTGTGTGCATGTGTGTGCACGTGTGCATGCATGTGTGTGCATGTATATGCACAGGGGGTGCTGGGGACTAAACCCAGGGCCTTGGCGCATGATAGGCAAGCACTCTACCACTGCGCTACACCCCCAGCCCCATCTCAAGACATTTTTGTGCCAAAAGATTTCTCTGCAGTTGGCTTGTGCTAAGGTTCCCTCCAGTGATAATATAGTATTTGATTTCCAGTCACACCTAAAACATTAAATATTGGGGCTTATTCATAATAGAGATTCTTTTTGTAATTTTTAAATTATTATTAATTTTACTGGTACATTTTAGGTATACATAATGATCACATTCTATAGAGGAAGTTTATACCTGTACATGATATTTCTTGATTCTTCTTCTTTCCCCAAACCCCTCTCTTCCCTTCAACCCCTCTTCTCCTCCTTATTTAAAGAAGCTTGGTTTTCATTTTCTTCCTTCTATTTTCTCTTTTCCCTTCCTTCTTTTTCCCCCTCTCCATCCCTTATTCTCTTTCCCATTTGAATATTTTCTTCCTACTTCCCAGTATCTGTTATATATTTTGGTCCTTATTTACCTTTTCGGTTTCTCCCACAAGAGAAACACTGTGATATCTAAACATGTGTGTCTTGTTTATTTCATTTGAGTATGGATTCTTTTTTTACCCTTGCTTCCTTTTTCCCCTCCCCCCTCCCTAGTTCCCCTTTCTTTTGAACAAATTCTCCCTATTTCACAATACCCTTTATACATTTTGCTCCTTATTTACACATTTGGTATCTCATACCAGAGAAAGTATGCAATATTTACACATGTGAATCAATTTATCTCACATAAGAGTACATTCTCAAGGTGCACCCATTTACCTAGAAATGTCTCATTTATCCTTCTTTATGGCTGAGTAGTACTCCATTATATAAAAAAGCGCATCTTCTTTATCCTTTGGGATTCTTTCTTTTAAAGGCAGAAGTGTTTTAAGAGCAAAATGAAGTCCTCCAAGAGTTCTAGAAATCATTCCTCCACACTTTATTTGAAGTAGCCCTAAAAAATGGAATTAAGTCAGGTGTGGTGACACATACCTGTAATCCCAACACTCAGGGGCAGAGGCAAGAAAAGCATAAGTTTGACTTTAGAAACAGCAAGAGCTGGTCTCACAATTTAAAACTGGGCTAGAGATAGAACTCAGGGTGAATCCCCTAGTACTGCTACATACATACATACATACATACATACATACATAACTAGATTGCTCTTTATAGGTGCTCCTATATGATCCTAGCATTCCTGAGGCTGTCAGGGGGGTAGACTATGGAGGCCCTAAAGGGCATGTACTAATCAATAATTATCACCCCCCCAAATAACAACATTTATTTTGCTTTGATGGTTAACAAAGCACTTGTACTCCAAGCACATCACTTGCTGCTTATTAAGTAGAGAGAACCCATAGTATAGCGATTATTTCCATTCTACAAATGAAGAAAGAGACTCAAAAAGGTTACTAAGTTTGCCTCATTCACATATAGAAGTCCTCCGGCACCCACATCTTTGGTTGACCTGGATTCCACTGCACTCTATGGTTTGCAGCTCCCTCTCACAGCACAACTGGCAGTATTTAAAAGTAGCAAGATCTTTCTGTAAGTTATGCCTGTGCAAACCCTCTGCTTTTTGTCTGTTAAGAGCAGGACTTCCTCCAGCATCACCTACATACCACCCTCGCTGTTCGATTGTGCTTTGATAACCCAGTGTCATTTCCTGAGTGAGTTGCTATGGGAGGTGAGACAGGCTTAATGCACCCCACACCAACCACTTGTAGCTGCATGGCTGCTCTAATACAGAGAAGCTCTCTGCTTTAGCAAACAGCCCAGTACTGCTGGGCTTTGAGAGAACCCATCAGAACCACAAGTTCCACATTCTTTTTGTCCTCTCCTACCCAACCCAAACCCAACAAGGAGGTAACAAACTGGGCGTTAGGGCCTGACTTCAAAAAAGCCTTGAAACACGGGAGATCTGGAATCAGGATTGGCTACAAAATTTGCAGGACCCAGTGCAAAATAAAAACATGGGATCCTTTGTTCAAACTACTAAGAGTGTTGAGGAGCAATAAACCAAGTTCAGGCCCTGCTAAGCTCAGCTCTGTGTCATTGCCCAACTCACACGCCTTTCTCTGAGACATCCAGGAACTCCAGCTGGAGCCTCCATGTGCCCTTCTGCCAGGCATCACCCACCCAGAAGAACAGTTTATTTGGGGCAGAATTGATACTGAAAGATTTTGGCAAAATATAAGTGCTCTCACTGAAGGCAGCATTAGCCTAGCTTTCTGTCCTCCCACAGTAGTTTGTTCCTATTGCTCTTTCCATTTGGCACCTATCGTTGCATTATTTGTTATATATACAGCTCTATTAGTCCTTGGGCTATTAACTCCTCAGAGCTGCAGTGATGTCCTATTTATCTCTGTGCTCTCAACACAGCACCTGATGCATAGGTAGCATTTAATAAATACATATAGATTAGTGTCATTACTTTTCCCCATCCCTTCCTTCTACCCCTACACACCCCTGGGGACCCTGTAATATCTTGTCTTATATTTAGCCTGCAGGCCACAATCAAATCATCATATCTTACCTGGGAGTCTCCTCCTAAAGAAAAATCTCCGGCACTCTGAGAGGAAAAGGGTTTACGTCACCATCTTGGCGGTTACTGCAGTAGCCACTGAGCTGAAGACAAGATAGCCACATCGTACTGTCAGTGAGAGGGCATCATCAAAAAAGCCTTTCCTTTAGTGACCCTTCAAAGTGACTTGTACTTTTCTCTAAATTCCAAGCCCTCTGTAAACTTTAGAGTCAGTCTGAATCCACTTACGTGAAAAACGTGAGCTGGCCACACGTATAACCAGTGCATGTCAGAACAGCCCAACTAGCTGTTTGAGGTTGATGTCCTTTCTCACTTCAATGCCCACGTGACATCATTTATTAAGTACTTTGAACATCACCATTCCAGACTCCAAATGCAATTTCTCACTAAGGAAACCTCGGTGAGAATAAGGTAACATAACACCTTGTAATTATATTCCATCTCACTTTACAAGTATATATTCAATTAATTTATCTTCACAAGGTGATAGAGGAAAAGAAAAGGAAAAGAAAGGAAACCTTCCATTTTTTTTCTTCTGTTACATTTTGAGTACCTGTCTTTCAGCATTCACAAGGAAATGGTCCCTAAGTTCCTAGAGTAGAACAAGTTTCTTTGTTTTCTTTTCCAAAGCACCTGGTACTTGCACATTTTGCATCCATCTCTTTGTTTGTGTAGTTATCTGATTGACATTGGTATTTATTTTAACTATAAATTCAGCAGGAATTGTATCTGTTTTACTCAGTGTTGTGTCTCCAGCTCCTTGTATCACACTTAAAGAGTAGATGCCTCATAAACATGGAGCCCGTCAGCCTAGATAGTCCAGGTTCTCATCTGAAGCTCTTCTCCACTCAATTATGTGAGAGTGGGGAAGGAGTACACTTGAGATCTTGAACCTTGGGGAGATGTGCCTTTTATCTTTCAAATGTCTTCTAGCTTTTGGAAAGGATACATATAAGTGAACATTTTAATGAAATGTATCCTTAGAAATTCAGTGAGAAATTTAGTTTTTTGAATGAGACTCCTTCAGAAAATTGGGGTGCCATAACATATGAAATATATCCATAAATGCAAAAAAAAACTGGGTCGGGGGGTCATAACCTCAAGAAACTAGATGACTTGTCTCTGTGGAAGCTCCTCAGGGAGACTCCAGCTGGGAAGATAAGGAACTGTGAACGGTGACAATCAGATGGTCACAATTTTCTATTTCTATCCACAGGGCTGTTAGCAGCTGGAAGGGATGCAGACTCGTTTGTGGTGAATGGGATTCTTGGGGAGTCAGTTACTTTCCCCTTAAACATCCAAAACTCACAGCAAGTTAAGACCATTGCTTGGACTTCTGAATCATCTGTTGCTGTCATTACACCAGGAGACTCAGGAAGAGCACCCAACATTATTGTGACCCACGATAATTATAATGGACGATTAAAAGTCATAGGTGAGAGCTACAACCTGGTCATTACTGACCTGAAGATGGAAGATGCAGGAAAATACAGAGTGGACATCACCACCACCACCACCACTGCAAAGATCTACTACCTTCATGTATATCGTAAGTTCTAGGGAGACAGAGGGCTTGGTTGCTACCTTTGCTTTTAAATTTGCTATTTAAAACACCTACATTTTTTATAACTGGGCTTCAGTATTTATCAAGAGTATGTAGTCTTGTTATCACCCTGACTTTGTCATCTTTTAGCTGTGTGTTCTTCCATCAGCAGTCTGTCCTCTGAGCCTTCTTTTTTTTTTATAAAATGTCAATAATCATATTATTCAACTGTCAGAGTTACTATGAAGATCTAATGAGATAGTATATATTCAGTGGGTTGCCTTCAAAAAACAATTTCTATTTTGAAATAATTATAGCTGTGTTATGACTTGTGTCTAGATGGTCCCCCCAAGCCTCTTGCAGTCACGGGGGGGCAGGCTTTTCAGTGGTAGATGAATCTAGAGCATGTGATGTTGGGATTAAGGGTGCCTGAATAGTAAGTCAGCCCACTGAAAGGTTTGGCATAGTTCTGGCTAGGGTTAAAGGTGTGAGTGCCACACCTGCCCTAGGGCAGGTAGCCTGCCTACAATATAAAGGACAGAAAGAGCTGTTTTCTTGCTTGGTGCCTTTTCTGTCTTCCACCACCATGAACAGTGCCCCTTTGCCATGTGCTACCCTGCCTTGGAGCCAGCTGACTAATGAACTGAAACCTCTACAAACTGTGAACTATATAAAACTTTCCCCCTTTAACTTTGAGTGTTGGGTATTTTATCTCAGCAATGAGAAAAGTAACTAAGGCAAGGTGCAAAGAAACGTAAAGCCAGGTTCTGTGTGCCTTCACCCAGTGTTAACATCTTGTGTAACTATAACACAGTATCAAAACCATAAAATGTATAGATTTCAACTAAAATTCACCAGTTATACATGAATTCATTTATGTGTGAGCCTGGGTGTGTGTGGTCTTGTAGAGTTTAATCATATGCGTAGCTTTGTATAAATACTACCACAATCAAGATCGTCAACTGTACCGTCCCAAGATTCCCTCTTGCTATGCCTTTGTGGCCACACACATTACCTCCTTCTTCCCCTCCCTCGCCCTGGAAATTACTAATCTGTTCATATCTATAATTATGTTATTTCACAAACGTTATGTAGATGGAATCATGCAATATATAATGTATTCTTTTGAGTTTCTTTTTTCTCCACGTAATTTCTTTGAGAATCATCCAAAGTATTGCTTCTATCAATAGTTGATACTTGTTTTATTTTCTTGACACAAGGTCTTATTGTGTAATTCAGTCTGGCCTTGCCTTGAACTCACTCTGTAGCCCAAACAGGCCTCAAACTCATGCAGTCTTCCTGCCTCAGCCTGCCAAGTGCTGGGATTACAGCTGTGTACCACCATGCCTGGCTAAAAGCTTACACTTTTAACTATTGGATAGTATCCCATGGTGCAGACATAGTTCATTTAGCTGATCACCTATTTAAAGACATACTAGGCATTTCCTGTTTGGGGCCATTACCAATAAAGCTGCTATAAATACTTATGTACAAGTTTCTGCATGGGTAAGTTTTCATTTCTTGGGATAAATGCTTATGAATGAAATCAGATGGCAAATCTCTTTTTAGTTTTATAAGAAACTGCCAAACTCTTTGACATACCGTCTAGGAATGTATGCATGCTGTAGTTTCTCCACACTCTCCCCTGGGATTCCGTATTTTTCCTTTTGGACGTATAGTGATATTTCATTTCAGTTTTAATTTGAGTTTCTCTAATAATTAAAAGTTCTTTTCTAGGGTAAAATATCATAACTACTTATTATCATCATTATAGTGACCAGGTTATGTCATGAAATGCTTTCAAAAGTACAATCTATGGACCAGCCACATCAGCATGACCTGGAAGCTGTTTGGAAATGCAAACCTCAGGTCCCACTCCCGATTCAGCCCAGGAATCTGTGTTCCACATTGGTCCTGGGTTATTCCTACATGTGCAAAAATTTGCAAAGCAATGATCTAGACCCTGTCACATATGGTCCTTACCAGCCACATGTGGCTCCTGAGCAAATACAATGTGGTCAGTCCAAATTAAGATGTGCTGTAAGTGCAAAATACACACTAAATTTTGAAATCATAACACCAAAAAAAAAAAAAGGAAAAATTTAGAAAAATATAAGATAAACTGTTAATAGTGTTTGCATTGGTTACAGCTTGAAATGACTTTTTGGATATTACAAATCAGATAAAATGCATTATATTAAAACTCATATTACCTGCTTATTTTCACTATTTTATTGTGACCATTAGAAATTTTTAAATTACTTAAGTGGCTCACATTATATTTGTTCTAGGCAGCATTATTTCCTAACATAGGGAATATCTGGGCTATTTGTCAAGGATTTTATTGTCTATCTGCTCCCGTAAGAGAAAAAATACAGAAATATGGCTAATTCATATTGTTATAGATGCAGTTCAGGTACTAAAAGGGAAGTTCTTTAAAGACAGTGATGTTGTATATTAAACTCATCAGTGAATTCCCAGCATCTGTCTATTAGGCACATAATGGATACCTCAGAAGTACTTGTTGAATAAAAAATGAATAAATCATAACATTCCTAAGTTTCATAGTGTCTGACAAGTGTATGTGTTCAATCAATACTGGATAATTAGATTTGGTTGTATCTCAATGGGAAGCACAATAGAAAGAGCATTAGTGTGCGAATTAGACTTCGTTAGCTGTGTGACTTTTAACAAGTTGTTTAACCTCTCTGGCCTCATTTATTTTTATCTTTTGAATATAGATTATGATTCTGGGATCAAATGAGATAGTAGTAGTTGGATATAGTACAGTTCATGTCTTAAAGTAAATGCCTAATAACAGACATTATTAACTTTTTAATCCTTTGCTCCTTTTTAAAATCCTAGTCAGGAAGAACTTCTCAGATGAAGAAGGCCCCAAATTGTACACAATGAACCTTGTCCAATATACACCCTTGAAAATATTAAGATATTCATTGTCATCCCTTTATATATTTAGTCTTTTCTAATCGTCTCCAGGAGGAATATATAGCCTACAATTAGGACAGACCCTGGGAAATCTTAGAGAACGACGAATAGTCCAGACAACAAAATTGTTACAGAAAGGAACTGACATTTACTGGATACCATCTACATGCCTGGACTTCTTCTGCCTAATTTAAAAAATATAGATCATACAAATATAAGCAATACTGGCACAAACAAAACAAAAGATAGAGCAATGAAATGTAACTCTCCCTTCTCTGAGTCAGTGGCTGAGGCCAGTTTTTCTTTTCTGTAGATAATTAATGTGCAACAAGCAAAGATAAATAGATGAACAAATGGATATGAGAATAATCTTTATATATATATATATATATATATATATATATGACCTCATTTTAGCTCACAACAACCCTGTCAGGAGGATATTGCTACCTGGTGCTATAAATGGGGAGCTAAATGCCAGAGAACCCGTGTCCCCTTTCCACCACTGTGAAGCCCAAGTGGAGCCTGGATTCTGAACCAGGCCTCTTGTGGCTTCCCCACTCTTGGCTTGGGAAGATCAAGGTCTGTCAGGTGCGACTCTGACCTTTTCTGCCCAGCAGCTTCATGCAGGTAACATCTCTGGTCTTGCTGAGAAAAATAAAACAGGATTCTATTTTGCACCGCTGTACACCAGCCAGACATTCACAAAAATAAAGAGTAACGTCTTTCTTTAAAAAAGGTAAATACCAAGCAGTGACAAACAATCTTGTAAATCAAATTTCTAAAGACACATACACTTGCACGTGTGCACACCCCCACACACATACACACTTAAAATGTGGTTCCCTTTTCACTGATTCCTACATATAGGGCCTGTCATATATCTGTTAAATGTCAAATGCTGCTACAGACTTACTTTGAAGGTTTGTCAGCAAGTCACCACTGGTTCCAATCCAGAGGAGATTGCTCTAAGAGACTGCTAGAATCAGTGGTTTAAAATAAAAAAATCTCTACAGCTTCCTACGGTCCGTGTTTTACTCCTGTACAGTTACAGAAAAATCGTCCCCTTACTTATACTGCTAATTTTTTTAATCAGAATGTTCATGCCTCTTCCTTCGAACTCCTCTATTTTTGCACTCACATGGCTACAAGTGGAAGCCTCAGGATAGTGATGAACTCAGAACATGGTCATGTTCTTATCTCTCAGTGACAGAAAACACACAACACCCCACCCTGGTTTTTGCCAGAGCCAGATCTAGCCATTACTAGAACTTAAATATAATTTTTATTTTTAAATATGTTTCTATTAGTGCCTATTAATTTTACACCATATTAGGTTTCAATGTGGTATTTTCAAATATGCATATGACACATTTTGATCATATCTATCTCCCCTATTTCCCTCCCTTATAGGTCTCTCCTCTCTTTTAATTCCTCCCTCTTGTCTAATAGTCTTCCTTATACTTACATGCCATCTTGGTTCAAATATAAAGGGAAGCATGCATTACTGATCTCTGAGACTGGGTATTTTGTTTAACAGGACCATCTCCAGTTCCATCCATTGTCTAGTGAACAACATAATTTTGTTCTTCTTTATGGTTGAATAATACTCTATTGTGTGTATATACCACATTTTCTTCATCCACTTATCCGTTGTTGGGCCCCTAGGCTATTTCTATATCTTGGCTATTGTGAATTATGACCCCAAACATGAGTATGCAGATATCCCTCTATAGTATGCTGACTTTAATTTCTTTGGCTGTATGCCAAAGAATGGTATAGCTGAGTACATGGTAGTTCTATTTTTAGGTTTTGAGAAACCTCCATACTAATTTCCAGAGTGGCTGTACTAATTTACACTCGCACCAGCAGTATGTAAAGAGTTCCTTTCCCCCGCCCATAGCATTGATTGTTTTCTGTATTCTTTATGATAGCCTTTTTGACTGGCTTAAGCTGGAATCTCATTGTAGTTTTGATTTGCATTTTCCCAATGTCTAAATATGCTTACTGGCCATTTGTAATTCTTCTTCTAAGAAGGAATTCTTTACATCCTGCTGGTG